CGACCCAACCAACGTGAGTGCAACGCTGAATGATTGTGCGGCTTCGGCTTGTGTTGTTAGGGACCAACTTTCTGATGGCTGTGTTAGGGGTGAGCACCTTGCGGTGGAATAAAATTATGAGAAATTTGAATGTTTCCATATTTCTTAATTTTTAGCTATTTAAAAATTTAACATTTATAATGTGTGACATAGGGCCTCATAGCCTAGTCAGTAAAGGCACGGTATTACCAAGCCGGAGGCGGCGGGTTCGATTCCCGGTCCGGTCGAGGGAATCTTTCGGGTTGGAAATTTTCTCGACTTCCCTGAGCATAGAGTATCATTGTGTGCCACACAATATACAAATTCAAGCATTGGTATTGGCATCGAAAGCTCTCAATTAATAACTGTGGAAGTGCATTTAGAACACTAAGTTGAGAGCACGCAATAAGCTAATATGCGCTAAGCAATAAGTTTGAAATGCGAATAAGAAGAAGAAGACATAGGGGAAATGGCTCTAATGTTGGCCTATGGATCTAAGATTGGGCCCATCGCTAAAAATCTGCTATTTATCAATTTTATCTAGATGAACGCGTCATTGGGACGGTACTAATGGATATTTTTGGTCGCTATTGAAAATTTAGTCGATTGCTGAATTTATGTATGGGCCCAAATTAGGGACACTTAGGCCAACATTACATACATTTCCCTTACTACACAAATCTTTTAAAACTGCCGAATCAATCGACATACAAATCATCAAAATCCATTGATTATTGGCCAAGTTATTAGCATTTAAAGTCTGATCATTTTTCATTGCATTTCCCTGGATTGGCAGTTCTACGTCAACATACTTGTCTCTACTTATTCGACAAAATTTGTATCAGATTTAAATAAAATGCTCCATTTGCAAAATAAAAGCATTTTAAGATTGCACTCGTCATATCGATGATTCCAGTTTGATGTTGATATCAAAATTAGATTTCAATTTGCTGTCATTTTGATGCTGGATTTTGCTCGGGTAGGCATTCAAGGAGCATTGTAGAACGAATTCTAAGAATTATCGGGAGTGATATTTTTTAGTGTTTGTGCATTCTACCAATCCTTTAAATGCTAGTCTACTTCTAACCCCTATCTTTAAAGTCTACTTCTAACGCCATTTATTAAAGTTAAACATCGTTGCATTGATCAAAAATTAACTTCAGAATCCAATAATTTCGTGCGATAAATTAAAAACAACTTCAATACAAATCCATCTTACTTACACATCTGTCATGCAATCGGCAACAAACAACTACCTACAAAATAACTAAGCAGCAATACAATTCCAAGCGCAGTTATAGTGTCACATGCGAAGGAAAAAATATCTATCATCATTTGTTTACAATCACGTTCCGTTGTTTTTCTGTCCTAGCTTTACCAATCATATTTGCCGGCACCTGCAAAAAACGGAGCCATCCAATGCCAGCACTACCTATCCCACAAGGTGCAAAACAGCACTCAGAAAAATTTGGCATTCACCTCAATTTATGACAGAAAACAACATTCCGATGATGCATCATCGCGTGCATCATCGCGGCTTGTGATGTCGAGACTGAGAGATCATTAGAGTATTTTTTCGCGCGTCTTTCTCTCTCTTTGATTTGAGACAACTGCCGCGTCGTTGTCTATGAGAAATGTTGCTATTGCCACCTTCCACAGACTGTGCGAGTACAATACAATATACTGTCTATAATCGCATATCAGTCCCATATGGATTTTCGTCTATTTAGTTCCATCATTTCGTTAGGGCTAAACTGCTTTTGTAAATAATGACTTCAACTGCCGATTTCTCGCAAATAATAGCTCACTTCTGCAAAAAAAAAACGATGTCAACTGGTAGAGGAAACATTCCATAAAGTAATTTCGCCCTTTTGAATTGTTGGCACTGAGTTCTGCTTTTTGAATTGCCATATTTTTATAACATTGATATAACAAAGCATGTAAGCTTAATTGCAACTGATTTTAACTTGAAACATATAGGGGAAATGTATGTAATGTCGGCCTAAGTGTCTCTAATTTGGGCCCATACATAAATTCAGCAATCGACTAAATTTTCAATAGCAACTAACAATATCCATTAGTACTGTCCCAATGACGCATTCATCTAGATACAATTGATAAATAGCAGATTTTTAGCGATGGATACAATCTTAGATCAATACATTTGCTATGATTTTCAAATATTAACATGGAAATTGCACTTTGATTCTCAACGCCTACTTTTTCCAATGGCGGATTTCGCGGATTCGTCGGGGATTTGAATTTTTGTCGCAAAAATTGCGAAAACATTAAATGATGTCGCAAAAATCGCGAAGAGGTGTGCTATCACAAAATTTGCAGAATTCATGTTAATGGCGCGAATTGTTTGTGATAATTTTTAGGAAAAATTATCAGGGTTTTCTATTTATCGTGTATTAAGATGCCAGAGGTGATGCCAACACTCCAGTTCCACTCCGAGATCGAAGCGATAGAAAATCTGTACCGCGTAAACGACACACGGAAATTCTACGAAAAGCTAAATAGTTCGCTCAAAAGCTACGTGCCGCAAGCCAATTTGTGCAAGGACTTGGACCGTAACCTTCTTGCGAACGAATGTGAGGTGATTGAGAGGTGGAAGCAGTACTATGACGAGCACCTCAACGGTGAGGCAGAAGAAAACGGCCCCTGAAGGCTGAAGCTAGGCGGATTGGACTTGCCATCAACGCATCAAAGACAAAATACATGAAATGAAGAGGTTCTAGGGAAGACAATGTTAGCCTCCCATCCGAGTTCAGATTGACGGTGACGAAATCGAGGTGGTCGATGAGTTCGTGTATTTGGGCTCACTGGTGACCGCCGAAAATGATACCAGCAGAGAAATTCAAAGACGCATTATGGCAGGGAATCGTGCCTAGCTTGGGCTCCGGAGGACGCTCCGGTCAAATAAAATTCGCCGCCGCACGAAGTTGACTGTCTATAAGACGCTGATTAGACCGGTGGTCCTCTACGGCCACGAGACCTGGACTATGCTCGTAGAGGACCAACGCGCCCTTGGTGTTTTCGAACGGAAGGTGTTGCGTACCGTCTACGGTGGAGTGCAGATGGATGACGGAACGTGGAGGAGACGAATGAACCACGAATTGCAACAGCTGCTGGGAGAACCATCCATCGTCTACATTGCAAAAAATTGGGCGACTACGGTGGGCTGGGCACTTCGTAAGAATGCCGCACGACGACCCAGTGAAAATATGGTTCTAGAAAGCGACCCAACATGAACAATAAGAAGAGGCGCGTAGTGGGCAAGGTGGATCGACCAAGTAGAAGGTGACCTGCGGACCCTTCGCAGACTACGAGGCTGGCGAACTGTGGCCATGGATCGAGTAGAGTGGAGACGACTTCTTCGGACAGCAGAGGACAACAAGGCCTTAGCCTGATTGGTGTGTGTGTGTGTGTGTGTGTGTGTGTGTGTGTGTGTGTGTGTGTGTGTGTGTGTGTGTGTGTGTGTGTGTGTGTGTGTGTGTGTGTGTGTGTGTGTGTGTGTGTGTGTGTGTGTGTGTGTGTGTGTGTGTGTGTGTGTGTGTGTGTGTGTGTGTGTGTGTGTGTGTGTGTGTGTGTGTGTGTGTGTGTGTGTGTGTGTGTGTGTGTGTGTGTGTGTGTGTGTGTGTATGTGTGTGTGTGTGTGTGTGCGTGTGTGTGTGTGTGTGTGTGTGTGTGTGTGTGTGTGTGTGTGTGTGTGTGTGTGTGTGTGTGTGTGTGTGTGTGTGTGTGTGTGTGTGTGTGTGTACCTTGGCAACCTATGATTCGGTAATGTCTAGCAACACTGCCAAAGTAATCAAAATAGGCGCTGTCCGATTGGATCTGGATATGCCAGTTCGTTTGGCTCAAAACCAGCCAGTCCACTTCTCTCTTATACTAGTCCTTCTCTAGTTTCAACCAAAACGCATTCGGTTGTGTTTTGGTTGAAGGAACACCAGCACAAACAATTCGAAGTAGTTTGTAGTTTGTGGTAGTAATTTCTGATCACTGGTCAAATTTGGTATTACATCTGTAATACCAAAATAGATTAGTGACCAGAAGTGACGCTGTACTCGACTTACATAATAGGGCCCTATGCTTTGTTCGATGGCTTGAACTGCCGCGGCATAGTGTTCGCCAGTTGAACTGTCTTCGTCCTTTATTCAACTGCTGTTTCCCTGGAGTAACGCGTTCATTCATTCTTTTAATTAGTTTGCGAATCCTCTCTACAACTAAGGTTGCGGCATTTCATCTACATGTTCCTGATTATGTAATCGCAATACGATCTAAAAAGCTACAGTGTCCTAGTAAGCACCATAGCTCGAGTCGTCTGTTAGTATTGTGTATTATATGGAGAACCCAACCGAGATATTAGCCATTCAGACAGCAGTTGATAAACTCTCTCGAAAAGAAAAACAAAGAATTGTAAGTTGTTGTTTATAAATAAGGGTGTCACACAATCATTTTTTGATGGGGTCTAATTTTAACTTCATTGATGATATATGTTGACAATGTTATACACTTAAAATGAGGTGTACAAACTCCTAAAAATATTCACAGAATCTCATATCAGCGCACTATGGTTAGGATGACATTGTTGCCCCTAGTTCTCGTGTACATTATTTCCAATCTAATACACCAACACAGCCAATTCTTGAAAGCATCCTTGAAAATGATATATATACCTACATCATTTTTCTTGTCTATTTGATATATGTTTCACATCGAAGATGCGTCACACATATCAAAACGGCCAGGCCCACTTTGCAGCATTTAAGGGGCAAGATGATCCAGAAAACATCGGGAATGAAATTTGTAGACACCTTATTACATAAACATAACCATCAGACGAGCTTTCCAGTAAGAGTAACCTAATGTATTCTACGCATCTCAACCCTACCTTGCTATCAATTTGTTACCCCTAACCTCGAGATAGCCGCGAGTAATCGGCCCCCGCATTACCCACGTTAGTTTTAAATAATTGTGATCTAAACAATGAATATCGGCTCCGCAAAGCTACGGCAAATGAGCCTGGAAAAATAAATGCATTATAAAAAAAAATCTCATTGGTCTTTTTACACAAATAGCTATCTACATTCACACGAAATCGTCTACCGTGATTTGAAGCTGGAGAATCTCTTGCTGGACAAAGATGGTCACATCAAAATAGCCGACTTTGGCCTCTGCAAGGAACAGATCACCTACGGACGCACTACGAAGACTTTCTGTGGCACACCGGAATACCTAGCGCCCGAAGTGCTGGAAGATAACGACTATGGTCTCGCCGTGGATTGGTGGGGTACCGGGGTGGTGATGTATGAAATGATGTGTGGAAGGCTACCATTCTACAATCGTGACCATGATATTCTGTTCACGTTAATTCTGATGGAAGAGGTTAAATTTCCCCGAAATATCAGTCCCAACGCGAGAGATCTGCTTGCCGGTCTACTGATGAAACAACCTAGAGACCGTCTCGGTGGCGGACCGAATGACGCCAAAGCGATCATGGTGCATCCGTTTTTCTCGAGCATTAACTGGACCGATCTTGTGCAGAAACGTATACCGCCTCCCTTCAAACCGCAGGTATCGTCCGATACTGATACTTGTTACTTTGATTCGGAATTCACCGGCGAAAGCGTTGAGCTGACACCACCGGACAACGCTAGGCCTTTGGGGGCTATCCAAGAAGAACCACATTTCTCACAGGTAATTACAATTGCTTAGCAATGTCAGTATTGACTTTTCTGATGCGCTTCAATCTCATTGCAGTTCAGCTACCAGGATATGGCATCTACTCTGAATACGCCGTCGTTTATCAACAACTCGAATAGCTACGTATCGATGCAGTGAAACCGTCGAGCGGATGATGAAGCTGTGTGCTACAATCGACTCGGCAGTAAACGCGACTTATGCTCTTCGGGGTATCCAAAATCGCTAACACCATCGCATGTAGGAACAATACATGGGAGTAAGCGTTTCTGCCGTCGCAAAGCGTTCGGAATCGTGTGGATTTGCTACGTAAACCAGGTGGACCTTTTCGCGTTGAGATTTTTGTTTTGCAGTTCGGGAGTGATAAGAGGTCAAAGTGCAGAATTACTTAGTTACGGTAACACAAACAAGCATAGGTTTTGAATAGCAAAGCAGAAGCGTCAATAGCTACTACAACTACTGTCAAATATTACCGACAACTACAACACCACAGAGGATGAGACAATGGTCCTGAAACGGGCCGAACCCGCAGCAAAGCAAAGCCCAGCAATAGACCGGTTTATTTTCAGGTAACGCTAGCCACAACCACAAAACAAACACGAAACAGGTGCAATCGCAAAGCGGTCACATTCACAATAGGACCCAGCAATAGCCCGGATGTTGAAACACAACCGGAAGGCTTTTGAAGCCCAGTGTTGAATCAACAAACTAACCCATTCCATACTCCCTTCATTCGATGACGAAAAACAAATCCAACAAAACCATTCTATAGCTACACGCATATGACGTATAAATTAGAAAACAAAACATAACAAACCATACACAACCTCCCCTGCGAATGAAATGGCTCTTCCTTTTAAATACAGAAGAAACAACACAAAACTAAAACTTGCGAACTAAAAATAAGAAGGCGTAAACGAGTAAAGCTAAACTAAAGTAAAATGAGAGAAGGATCGAACTGTGATAAATTGTAGAACCAATATAAGATGAAAGCGAGCGAAACAAATTTATGAGGTTACAACGTACATGATAAAAGCAGAAGCATAAAACTATTTGATTAAACATAAACAACCATAACTTTTAATTAAAAATAATTACGATATACAATGGAACGGAAATTTTACTCTAACAAAACAAAACAAAACAAAAATTGTCATTCGATGTAAATGTATGGATTTCAGTTTTTCCCCTCCGTCGGCGGGATGAGACTATTATAAATTAAAAGACGGTTAATTCACCAGCGGATTTTTGTGTTCTAGAAACATGTTGTTCATGGGAAGAAGCATATTTTTTGTGTGTGGAAAAACTCTATTGATTGTATAATTACGAAGACAATGTAAAACGACCTATCTACCTTTACCAATGCCAAATTGGCTCTAAATTCTTGTTTTTTTTGTCTCTTAATCAACGCAGGCTTTAATTTATTTTAATGAACAAACTTCAGAATAAAATACAGTCCAACGAAGGATTGGAAGTTTTTCTCGTGAACAGGGCAAACATGTGGTAATGTACACACAAGAGTCGCACAGTTCTTGTTTATCGCTATCAGTGACCGCAGTATGATTTGGTCGGTCTAGCAGTGAAAATGTTGTTAGCTTTTACGCTTACTACTGTATCATCATGTCATGGTTTCAAATGGCGTTTCCAGCATTCAGAATCTTTTGTTTACATACCCAATAGCATATCAGACCGTCAGCAATACGTCAGAGTGAGTTTGCGATGAACTGAGGAAAGTTAGCGTTTTGTAGTACCTAAAGGGTCAGGACATTGACCGTGATCTGAAGCCATCCCTGCTGTCGATTGGTCCTCCGTATCTGCTTCCATTTATTTTTTCGGCTGCATTCCCTTTTGTTTGGGCTTTATCCTCCCTCAGTAAAGAATTCCTCTGTTGCATCTCACATTTGCATGGGAAACACTTATTTCTCAGTCCATTGTAGAACATTTTATCCGTCCGGATTTAAATTTGTCGAGACTCCAATCCGCACGTTGTATGGTCCGTATAACTTTTCTATACATTCCCCATTTTCTATACTTTATGCCAAATGGCCGTTTTGTTAAATGGGGTAGAGCCATCCCTCGCCAGTCGGCCTGGCTTCAGCCTTCAGTCTGATGTACGTTTCCGCCATCATCTTAAAGTTCCAAGGAACTGGACGACTATTCCTGCTATTCTTATCACACCTACCAAAGCAATGTTCAACAGCTTACACGAAAGCCCATCACCTGCCGTAACCCTTTTTCGAGATGCGAAGGGAGAGACGAAACTCAGACAACGCACGTCACTCAATTAATCGTCGCCTTGACCAATCGTGTCAATTTATCCAGAAATCCGCATTCGCGCATAATCTGCCATAGCTGGTCTAGATCGATTGTGTTGTATGCTGATTTGAAATCGATGAATAACATCCAAAGATCCCATCATATAAGCTTTATCCCTTTATTCCCTTCCGATTGAGGAACTGAAACGTGGGTGTTCTGTTTACAGAGACTCCTCACTCACCTGTGTGAAGGTCGAGATCCGTTCAACTTTTCTCTATTTCCCCAGTTCTAACGCTAGGGTAGGGTAGGGTATCCTACATTCGCATATATTGAACGTTGCCCACCGAAGGCGACATGCGAACTTCCGTTAGTCAACTCACTTCCTATCTGCAAAATGGAAAATCAGATGTTCAGAGTTTTTCACGAATGCGCACTGCTTTACGTCCCCGGGGACTCGCGGTCTAGTTAGGTTGGAAAAAATCAACAAAAAATCAACGAAATTTGAGCATGCATAAGGGCGTAAACGGGATGATCGATTCTCTTCGTCGATTTTCCCTTTTGTTAATAACTCGCTTGGATTAACATTTCTCGGTGCGTTTGTTGTTGCTTTTGATCACTCCGGTGGCACAAAAGTCATCGAAGAACACTTTGCTTGAAGCCGATTTGTTTGGCTCTTTGATTCGCTAATACGTCAGTTATTGATAGCTGATGTAAAAATGACGATTTTCAGCTCCGTTTATGCGTTTGTTTGAACGGCCATGGTAACGTTGTGGTATTGATGAAAATTTCTCAAGTGAATAGTGTTTTCAATTGTTCTCTCGGTGTTTTTCAGTTTTGTTTCTAGCGCTCTATGAACTTAAAAGAAAGAAGTGCATGAAAGTGAGTTCACGGTGGCTTCATGAAAAATTGACCGTCCTATCGGTTGGTCATACTCGGATGGGTGAAACTCATCGCTTGATGGTAAAGTATGACCGAAGCTTAAAATCATTCCAACATCAACGCCACCGTTATCACTGACGGCAGCTCCAAGAACCAACGGCCGTGCCAGAAGGTTGCTTTTGATGGCCAATACAACCTGTTACAGCACTGTATTGGAAAAATTTCAGAAAATTACTTCCCTTAGCTGTAGCAATTTAAAGAGAAAATCGACGAAGAGAATCGATCATCGCCTTTACGCCCTTATGCATGCTCACGATGTCGACATCAAAGCAGTGTTGGACAGTCTTGATCGGGATTTAATTCGAGGATAATACCAGTTGGAGCTTACCACTATGAGTGTTACATTGGACGTTTTGTTCTAAAGGGTGGAACGGTCAAAAATTGATGAATTATAAATCCTGATGAATGTGGGCGTCTTAGTGGAATACCTGTATTTATATATTATATGGCCTAATATAATTAAGTGCACACTGATTTTGTTATTATATAAATGATCAAACTTTATTTCTTTCTGAAGTTCAACAGCTACAAAATACAGGAATATTATTGTATTAGGCTTCCGACTTTCCAAATGCGAACTGCCGGGCTCGATCAGATTTTGTACCGCTGTTGTACCAACCTTATTTGATGCTGAACGCCTGTTTCTCATTTTCTCCTTTTTTCTGAGTTTTCTTGAGGTTTCGCTTAACGATTGCCAAATATTTTTCGATTGGGCGCAGCTCCGGCGAGTTTCGAGGGTTTTTGTCTTTGGGTACGACTTGGACGTTGTTGGCGGTATACCATTCCTGAGCCATTTTCCCGTAGTGACAGGAAGCGCATAAACAGCACGGAAAAACTGTGTTTTTTCACATGTGCAAATCACCTGCCAAACCAAGTATTTTTTCGGGAACTTTTTCTGCTTAAATTTATCGTGAACCTGTCCTTTTCCGGTAGCCGTTTAAAACTCTTGACCTGGGAGCTGCTTGAAATCTGCCTTCACGTATGTTTCATCGTCCATTATGACGCAATCAAACTTGGTCAACAATGTCGTATAGAGCGGCGCTGGTGGTGTAGTGGTAAGCGTGATTGCCTCTCAATCCCAGTCGACGCCGCCGGGATGTTCTGAGGCATAACATCTCTGATCACGCCTTCCTACGGAAGGTAGTAAGGGAAGTAAAGCCGTTGGTCCCCGGTTCATGAGAGTTGATGGGTCGATAGGTAGGGTCCAGGTGTGGGAGCTGCCTCCCTGGCGTCGGTAGCATTGGTGCTCAGCACTGAAAACAAGATCGACGGAAAACAAATCAAGAAAAAAAAACAATGTCGTATACAACTTACATTTTCTTGCTTTGACCGTGCGTTGCAACGGGTATTCAACTCTGCACACCTCAATCTGTACCGAGAACTTTATCTGTGCCGAAAACTGTGGCAAGCGTTGGGTCGAGTGTGCCAAAGTGTGGCAATCATGCTGTCGATCTCAGTATCCCATGAGTTTGGCAACCCTGCAGTTATGACTTTTGAGATTGTTTGTTTACATTGTCAAGTTCTCATGGATGGTTAAACGAGCTATATCTGCGTATATTCCATAGTATATACGAGGGTAATCACTGTGCCTGTCCTGTTAATAAGTAAAACGTGCATCAAATAACACGAATGTGAGTTTTTCTTTGTTCAACATTCATTCCTCTTGCTTTAACGATGATAAGATTGGTAAGCGCGAGATCGTCGGCCACTACTGGAACTGTTAGCCAGTTAGCCGTTGCCAACCATTAAGTTCAACTCCTCCACGAGAAGGAGAAGGGTGAGTGATGGCAGAAGCTGTCCATCCAGGACAAGAAATTTCTTTACCGTGTCTCATTCTGGTAGACGTTTGCCGAAACCTGTACTTATGACCCACCCGGCAAGTGGAAAATGTACCTCTACATTATCATCATGGTACTCGGACAATGCTACAACCTAGAAATCAAGAAGGATTCGACCTAAAATTCCCACTGGCGATAGTAGAAGCAGCAATAGACCTTCAGTTACTTCCTAGTGTTAGCCTTAACTTTTGGGTACTGAATTCATCTATGTTTGCTAAACATTTTTTGGTGGGAGAGTCAATCGACTGCGTCCATGGTTTTGAACTTTTGAACAGCCTAATAAATAAACAGGAGATCCTGGGCAGCGGCGCCGGTGGTGTAGTGGTAAGCGTGATTACCTCTCACCCCAGCAGGCCTGGGTTCAATCCCAGTCGGCGCCGCCGGGATGTTCTGAGGCATAACATCTCTGATCACGTCTTCCTTCGGAAGGGAAGTAAAGCCGTTGGTCCCCGGTTCATGAGTTTGATGGATCGATAGGTAGGGTCTAGGTGTGGGAGCTGCCTTCCTGGCGTCGGTAGCATAGGTGCTCAGCACGGAAAAAAGATCGACGGAAAAACAAACCAAGGAGGAGATCCTGGAAATCACTGAGATTGTTCAATAACAACACAGAAATAAATAGTGCTGCTCTTCTTCATTCTCATGGCTCTCAACTATTTACTTTTAATCCGTTTATCCTCATCGTCCATCAAATAATTTCCAGCAGCATGCAAATGCGTATCTTGGATCTAAATACCGGTTTTCAACGTTTGATTACTACCTTCTCTTTGTATTTGCTTGTTGTTCCTTCATAACTTTCATC